TTCTGGTCCTAGTAATAACATCATCAACATCGAACCCACACCGCCTTTCCGGGTGGTCTTGTAACTCTTGGTAATAACGACAATGAAAACAGCATTAATTATGCAGTGTATGATTCATTCTAAGCAACGATTTTACAAAACTGTTGCGGGAAATCGGCACAGACATTCAATAAATCAGGCTCCTTGGCATGAAAATAAGACAAAAAAAAAATAACTCAGTCCTGGGTCCTATGTTACAATCTTTATGGCGCGGTGTTCAAACCTCGACCTGACACAGTTTTTGAGAGTTGCAAATTGACGCATTTTACCCTAACAGTATTTAAAAATGATCATGATTATTACTGGTGTTAGTATTACTATTATTATTAATGTCACTACTGTTGTTGCAGTTTTAATCATTATCACCATTACCTTTATTAATAATAATATTATCAAGACCATTATCATTATTTTTACTAACATTATTACTAATAATTGTTCTGGGAAACAGCGTACCTCAACCAGGAATATATCCATGATCCGATTGGCCAGCTCCAGAGTCAGCGATGTGGTGAACAGGGCGAGGAACCAACTGCTGGCATACATACTTGTATCGAAACCCATGTTATTGAAATGTGTATACAAATCTGGCATTTGCTCCTGCAAATGCGTCGTATACGTACTGGTCAAGGCCCGCATAATCACAAAAATCTCTTATGCGCTCCGGTACGGGACCTTTCACTTGTACTATAATGCAGCCAGGCTTTTCTTTTCTGCCGCATGCCTACAAGTAACTCAGGAAAATAAGAATAAACTAAAAGTTTCAACCAGCAAAAAAAAGAAAGAACCAAAAATCACTAGCTGAAGCTCCAATAATAATGGCATGGCAAAATTACAAAGCGACCGAATTTTAATATGTGGTAGATTATGAATTTTCATTCGATGATAACAGTGATAACAGTAATAACTACAATAATATTTTGAAATCTATAAAGTTGTGTCTGTATAAGAAACATCCTCTTAGAATTTTAGTTTTCCAACTTCTCTAGTCTCCCAGTTCGCAATTCTTTGCGAAAACTTTCGCGCGTCTTTACTTGGGGCTCAGATGTGTGTGAAGGTTGACATAATGTTCCTGAGGTCATATATAGCCAGGGAGCCCACTGGCAAAATTTCAGCATCAAAGCTTGCTTGGTAGCCCAATCGAAATGGCAAACGAACACACACACGCCTGCATACCATGGGTGTCGTCACAATATGCCTTTTTGCATTGCATGCAAGTAAAAACGCGTAATAATTATAGTAGCAGTAATAACAGTACTGTCCATTAATCATTGTAATGGCAACAATTATGATAATAACTGGTAACTTGCTTGCACAAGGCACTCAAGTTGAAACATGCATAGGCCCAGTTCGGTCATCGCTGGTTTGAACAGCTCTCGCAAACGATATGCTTCCATTAAACGCACAAAAACTGCGAATGCCTCTTCTTCTGGCATCTAAAAAATGAATAAATAATAGAATCACATGAATAAATAGAACACAACAAAACAATTATAAATAGAAATAGAGTATAAATACGGCGCTATACCAACTATATCTTATTGACACACAAATCAATGGCTTCAGATTTAGACCTCATAGCCTTGCTTGAAAGGAATTTGCTTGTGGTTTTAAAGTATGGGAGTTTTTAAAAATTGAATTTATTTGCCAGTGAACACTGGCAATTAAGCTGATTAAGAAATCAAGGGTTTTATTTTGGACCCGCTGAATAACCTTCCCCTTCCTCTTGCGAATTGCAAAATAAGTGTTTTGGAAATTTTTAATATGCAAATTATGGAAGTTTTTGGCACTACAGGCTGCCAATGAGAGGGACACAGTCGAATATTGACAGTTTTGGGAAAGCTGGAAGTACCAATTTAGATACCCAGATAAGCGAGCCTGTATGTGAATTTGCTGTTGTTCTGTCTGTGTTTCATCCCTAAACTGTAAACACAGACGGCAGAGCCGGTGCAGAATGAGGTGGGAATCATCAGTACAGTGCCCCATTCTGCCATGTTTAAGCTGTGTTATTTTACTTTTGTTACACACGAAACTGTGATAGGTACTTAGTTTGCAGAAAAAGGTTTTGTGTGTTTTCTTTCAAAGGCTGAAGTGACCCACGACTAAAGCAGTAACAGGGACTCGACTTTCATGGAAAAACAGATTATCAGAATTCCGCACCTGGGCATATACAGGGGTATATTACCGGAATACGACAGTACCTGAAGCAGTAGCTGACCAACGATGAAGGCACTACCCTGGCAATAGCCAACTTCAGTATCATGAATACTGTAAGCTTTGATAACATTAAATAAGGCTTGCTGACCACGGCCATTGTCTTTGAAGAATTCCAATTCCGGGTAAGTACGTGGAATATCACGCAATATTACCTAAAACACGAAAGAATTAGCTGAGAGCTTAACAAAGATTTCATACCTAACCGGAAAAAATCTGATCCGGCTAATAAACTGCGTGAAATTGGAAGACATTCGGGAACAAGACTGTCAACCAAATTTTTAGAGATTGTTATAGCTTTTAACAAAAAAAAAAAAAAAATTATTATAAAAATAAACAGCACCATGTACTAAAGGTAGCCGATGCAATCAAGCGTTTTGTGCAGTTAATAGGTACTTGTTGTTAGGAAAGTTCACTGTTTAACAATTTGGTATAAGTAAAAATACGAAATTCCGCGTGCCTATGCATGAAAAAGTTCAATTTCTGTTTTGTTTAGCTCCCAAACCAAAAACTGGTCGTGTAAAAATTCAAAAAAAATTTTTTTTTACCTGAGACATAAGTACACACGAAATC